GCCTTTCCAAGAAACTCTTGGTGAGCGAGGTATGAAAATGCAGCCCCCATATAACAGCCCAGAGTCTAGGGCAGCTTGGCTTTGACCTCTGAAACAACTGCTCTTGCAGCAGAGTTAACCAGGTTGGTTTCTCCCCTCCTTTCACACATTTTATCTGTGTGGCACTGCAGTTTAATTTATTTCTCCACCCGGCACCCCCCAGCCATTTGCTTTAAAGGGAAGGTAAACGCCCTGTGTTGCATCCCCATCAGTTTTTAAAATGTGAATGAAATGAAGCAATAGGCTGGGAAGCAGAAACAGAAAAGCGAGCGACCATGAGTGGAAGCGATACACGCGCTGATTGCAACCAGGCTCTCCAGCCAAATGAAAAAATTACTCCCTCCCCCAAGGAGATATTTTAGAAGCTGAAAGCTAAGAACTTAAGTACAAAGGCTTTTGTGTTTTTATTGACATTGTAAGAAACATTTTTTTTCTTTGTTACAAAAGAGCTAAGTGGTTCTGAAAGCAGAAGTACAGTTTATATGTACACAGTGCTACAGACCCTTCAGATCAACCTAAGGCTCGAGAAACATCAGATCATAACTGCAGGTTTATCAAATGAAGACCACTAAGGCCCATTACAGCCGAACACTATTCCTACCGTACGTAAATGTATTTACACATTTTCTTTTTTTTTTAAAAAAAAGGATTACAAGCTTTATAAAAAAAAAAAGCTAAAAAAAAAAAGAGAAAAAAAATGAACACATTTTTATCTTACACATCTGCAGGACTGACAACAGTAACTGTTCCATAGGAGACATTCCACCAATTCAAGGACAATAACACGTGAATACCAGAGGTTTACAAGACGTTTCGGACACTATTAACAGTGGTATGTGCTATTAGCTGAATGGCGAGTACAGTCTCATCGGGAAAATTTGGCAACACATCTTGGTCCCTCTCTTTTACAGGATCAACACAAAATAAGGCACATACATTGCGAGAATATAAACACTGCTGTTCAGAAGGATGAGCCATTGCGCAACAGGCGTGGACGAGCTGATCGGCCATTTCATCAAGGGGCGGGGGGGAGGCAATGACTGGAAGCGAGCGAGCGAGCCAGCGTCTTGATGCACGTACCGTTTGGGGCCATTCTCCAAGGTGAGAATAACATCATGTGGATGTATGGGGCCATCATACTCACCAGCAAACCCCCTTTGGAAGCCCACCGCCTTCTCTGCAAAAACACCTTTCCTCCACCTGGGTGGACCTGACAGATGAACTCTCCCTGGTGACTCCTACGTCATGGAAAGTAAAACTGCCTGGAGAAATACGCAGGCTGAGCGAGGTGGATTTGCCCAAGGCCAACAGTAATGGATCTGGAAGACCCCCCCCCAGAGCCATTAGAAGAAAAGGTCATTGAGACTCAGGCTGCAATGCTTTAAAAATAGGAAATTCACAATATTTTTTGCATTTTCTAGTACTCTAGGGTGAGTGGTGGGTTTCCAGCTGCTATGGCAATGCCAACTGATATGCCAGATACACAAAAGCAAGCTTTGGCTCTGTAACTGGAAGAGCAGGAGTAGAAGGGTGCCAGTAAACATATGAGCAATGACAGTGGGACTTTCCCCAGACTGCCACACATTGAGAAGGAGGTTGACAAGTGAAAGCTGGTGTCCAGCCGAACAGTGCCATGCTCAGAGACGCCAGTTTACCTTATCATCAAAACAAACCCCAGACCCAAGATAGCTGGGCTACGATGTATTGCTACCCTCGCAGGTACCAAAACAGGCTCTTAAGCATAAACCAGAAAAACGTGAGAAGATGCTAAAAGCTGAAAAGTGACACATGAACATAAGTAGCACATACGCTTAATGGTGAAAACGATACACCATTTGCACAAACTCCCTGGGGACATGGTGGAGTCTCTGGTTCTTTGATTTTGCCAAATCAAAACAAGATGCCTTTCTGGAGTATGTGGTTTCGGCCAAGACACATTGTTGGCCCAAGAGAGGGGGGAAGTGAGTGATAAAGGTTTGTCAAATCCAGGAAGGCAAATTAGCTACTCAAACAGTCCCTTTTAGCCTTGAGCAGTATGAATGGCTCCTTCTAAGCCCTGATGGATCACATCTGTTAATAGCTTCCCAGCTTCAATTGGACCAGCAAATACAATTGTGAATTGGAAAATTGAGTTTAAAAAAAGGTTTTTTTGTTGGGTTTTTTTTAATGTATTGGCTCTATAACAATAACAGGCTTCCCTCCCGAGCCACTTACTCCCAAGCTGGTCATAAGTCTCCCTGTTGAAACTGTTTATAAACATGTAATTGATGGCTTAATAAACAGCCAGCGATTGGTTACCGAGAACCATCTGAAACACCTCCAGCACAGCCTTTCCTCATGCATACGCTGCTGTTTCTCAGCAGGGGTGTCAGCTGTATCATAGCACTGCAAACGTACAGCGTGGACACTGAAGCATCCCTCCGCCCCCAGTGACCTGCGTCCCTCCTCGCGCCGGCAGCAGGACAGGGGCAAGGGCTGCGTACCGGCAGCGGGGTCTCTACAGGGATGCCTCTGGGCGATGAGAGCGCACCAGGGAGCCGCTCTGCCACGCTGCAATAGCAAACCAACCTTTGCCACAGTGAGCTGTGCCCTATTCCCCCGGCAGCCCAGGGACCACTGCGGGAGGGCTGAGAGTTGGTCGTGGGCAAGGAGGTTGGGAAGGGAACCAGCAAAGGGTGAAGAGCAGGACAGAGGAATATGCATGCATGAGAGAGAGGAAGGCAGAAATGCTTAAAGCTACGGAGAAAGACAGGAGCTGGATGATGATAAAAGCTGTAGGATATTTACGTTTGTCTTGATTTCTGACATTCCAGCTCACAGTGCAAATCACTTGGTATGTGCTGTGATAAGCCCAAATATGGCCCCAGCACTGGATTCCTATGATGTTTTCCTACTGATTTACAGCTTCTTCCCCCGATTCTAACAGCTGTTAATAGATCAATGTTATCTGACATATCTGAGGTTGTATTCTTACACATTCCTCAAATGCCATGCCCTGAATCAGCTGGCATTTCACCTTTTTTTACAGTAAAAAAAAAAAAAAAGTGCTATGGCCTTCTAGCCTATAGAAATCACCTTCTGGTGCTACTCCTAATTTTGACTGGGTTAAAGTATTTCAAAATTGACCACACTCCCGCTTCTCATTGTATGTCTAACACTAGGCTCCTTACAGACATCAAATCCATGACTGTAAAGTGCCTGCACCATTTACATCCCATAGCAGCATTTTACTATCGGGATTTAACTGCTATCGGGATTTAAGTCTGCAAGGACTGGACTTGCATGCAGTTTCTAGGCGTGGGTGAACTTAAACCTTGGTCTCATGACTGTTCTCCATCCCAAACTGTTTACCCAGGGGCACTGTATGTTCAGGGGCACAGATGTGGAGCCCAGCAAAGCCAAAAGCACGCTAGAAGAGCTAGCGCTTATGGAGCAAATGCCATTCACCTCTACCAGTGAGCAGCTTTCACGACCACACTGCATTAGTTCCAATTTTTGCTGGTGTAACCAAGCCTGGGCATTGACCCACTGGTTTGCTTTGAAATGAAATGCGTGTTGGTGACACTGAGAGAGGGAGGTTGGGTTGGTCTTTTTGAGTTTAGATTAGTTACCAGACATACTTGTTGTTCCACTTGTTTCTTTGCTATTTTTAATGGCAGTTTACATTTCTTAATTTTGTTAATCCTGGATACAGTGGAAAAACATTTAAGATTATCAGATTGCTTGCAATCAGTTTGACTTATTTGACTAGTCTGAGAACTGGGCCATTCGTTTTCTACTTGTTTTACATGCTACGACCGCAATGCTTTTGAAGCCATAACTGTGTGTTATGTCAACGGGCATTTACTTATTTTAAAACATATGATCCATCCGCGAAGGTGTATGTGCTAAAAGGGATGTACAAGACAGTTCTCCTGGCAAAGGAATTGTTACTGCGAATAAGAACCAGTGGCTCAGCAAATTACAGCTCAACTACTTGCATTAAAAAAAAAAAAAAGTCCCCAGAATGGAATACTGCAATTTTGTTATTTCACTGTATGAAATATTCCGTAAGACCCTGATCATCTCTCCACAAACGTGGTTTGCAATGAAGGGATTACAGACTACCCAAATCACCAAACATGTTCATAATTTTCCTATCCAGTCATTTAAAAAAGGCGGCTGAAAAACTGAATACCAAACACTGCAAAAGAGAGTTGGACTAAGAATAGCTTTCTGGTCCCCTCCTTGCTCTGAAATGGATTAAACATGACACAATCTCTGTATCATTATGCAAGGCAGTGACATCTATCTGTGTGTGTGTTTACAAAAACCTTAAACATTTGCTAGGGATCAAAGGGCTGATGGTTTTACATTTCTTATTTGCTTGAACCTCCTAATTTCTTGTGCTCCACAACTCTCAAACTACAGCCTAGGGGTACCATGGCAGTGCATTTCTAAATTGGTTGTCCACCTCAGTGCGATGTATCCAATGCATCCAGAGAGGATTTCGTCACTGTATGCTCACTTTACATTGTGCCTGGTTATTTTCCCCCTATATGCTTAGGGGGGAAAATTGCAACAGTTTTACAAGGTCTAGTTTCTTTTGAGTAACAGAAAATTGCAAAGTCATTCATCAGACCTTTCTTTAAAAAAAAAAACAAAACAAAAACATGCACTTCACACGTTTACATTGGTTTACAATTAAAAAAAAAAGAAAAAGGAAGCATACAGACATTGAAAAAGGGGGAGAGAAAAAAGAGAGAGAGGGAGGGAATGGGTGTAGCAATACTGATTCAAAACTGAAATGGAAGACAGTTTCTCCCTAGAACACTTTAGGGTTTTCAGAGTCCTTATTCCATAAAAGGAATATACTTGAAACACATCCCATTTAGGTGAGATGAGATTGCTAAAATACATACACAACTAAAAAATATGAGTCTTTTTTTTCATCTGTTATCTCCTAAGGGTTTTTTTTTTTTCATGTCTATTGCATAACAGCAAGAAACTTGCTTTCTTCTGCAAGTGAGGTCAACAAAGAGCTCATGTCCCCAATAGCCATGTTGGTTGTGCTTACGGGCATAGCTGGGAATGTAAGAGACGCTCGGGGAGTGGTGAGGCGTGAGGAATTGCGGGAGAGATTCTGAATGATACTCGGGCTCAGGGCTCCTGAAATTAAGCTGACGTGGTCCCCATCATCTATGATAGCATCAAAATCAATCTGCACACCCTCTAGGCTGTTGCTGTCAATGCTGTCAACTGTGCTCGACACTTGGTTAGCCCCTGGGGAAAGAAGCTCAGATGAGTTTGCAGTCGCAGTCCCCTGCAGCAGGCAGTTAGCTTCCGAACCAAAGAAAGAACCTGTTTTCATAGCTTGGTGGCTAAAGCCCGTGGTTTGGTCATATAACTGACCAGAGTAATTCTGCACGTTAGAGCAGAACTGCTGTGATTGACCTTGCATCTCCATCTTAATGGTGTTTACCCTGTACGTCTGGTTGCCATCACTTACGTGTCCTTGCTGTTGTGCCAAGTTGTTTCTCAACACGTTTTGCCGTCTGTTGCTGCTGTAATTAGAGCATGGCTGGTAACTTTTGCCCACCAACAAACCTGAAGGCTGGCTACCAATGGTGTGAGACACCGGTGGACAGCTCTGTGGCCCTTGATACAGGCTGCTTTGTGAGGTAGGACTAACCTGCCCTAGCATCATTTGACCGGATTGATTGACTCCCTGGTAATGAACGCCATCTCCAACTGGTTGGTTTTGCAAATATTCCTGTTCCATCATATTCCTGTTCTGCATCCCATTTGCCATACCGGTGGCTTGATCACTTGATGCCATGGGATGGCCGAAATTTTGCTGGTTCCCACTCACTGGCATATTGCTGCTTCTCAGCTTCTGCCCTTGAACTGCCACACCACAGGAATTGTCCATTGCCCCAGACATCATTGCTTGCCTGGTGATGCTTTCACTGTAAGGCTTATTGGGCTGCACGCTGAAAGAACTACCGGCTCCGCTGCCAAGAACCGTGTTTTGCTGTAAACCGTAGGAACCGTTGTTTTCCACCAGGTTCTGATAGCCGTTCTGCTGGGCCATGTTGCTTCTCTCCAGGTTCTGCTGCTGAACCATCATATTGTTATACAGTCCAAAGGCCCGAGTCTGCTGCACTGCTGAGCGCTGACCGCATTTCAGTTTCGAAGGAGATAAGTCAGAACTTCCTGAGCTTACTTCATTCCACTGAATGGGCAAGTCGCTCTTGTTTGCCTCAGAGCCTGCCTGCTGACTGCTTGGTGGAGGGGCTTGGTCAAAGTTACCCGGGTTGTTGTTTCCTAACACTGAGCTGTGATGCATTTTGTTGCTGTCTAGGACATTGTTCAACAAGTGGTCGTACATGCCCTGGTTCTGGGAATTCAGATACTGAACCACGTCATCTGGCAGGAGATCCTCATCATTCAGACTGCCACCTGCTTCCATCGTAGCAGCCTCCAGGGCGACGTTCTCGCTGATGCTCGGAGGACAGGGGGAGCTGAAGCTGCGGAAGACGCCACCCTCAGAACGGGTATAGTTCTGAAGAACAAGGTTGCGCTTTTCCATGGATGGAGGCAAAGCAGGAGGGTTAAAGCTATTAAGACTGTTGAAACGCTGGACTCTAGGGACAGAGAGGTTGTCAGAAGCCATTCTTACTGGGTCGCTGGCTCTCCTCGTCCCATTTCCTAGAGCATCATGAGACAGAAAATGCCTCCTGCTGTAACCATTTGCCCCACCATCACTACATCTTCGAGGGGCATTCACTGGAGGCAGTGGAGATACTCCAGACTCCCTGCAGTCACCCAAGAGTGCCATCCTTGTTTTGAGGCTCATCCTCTCCATGTTAGGCAGTGGAGTTGGCGGGGGTCCACCAGTAGCTGCTGCATATTTAGCTTTCAGCCTGTATTGCTGGGCTGGGGTGAGGCTGAGAAGACTTGGCAGGTCATCACACTGGCTCGCTTCACTGGAGCGCCGGGAGGCATCCGTTGAGATGGGGTCATAGGAGTCTGCAACACTCACATTCTGTGGTCTTCCCTCTGCCTGGGAGGCATCGCTGGACCTCCGGCTGGAGAAGCAAGGTGAGATTCCAGAAGACCTGCGGCTGCTCAAGTAAGCTGAACTGATTGTGCTAGTATTGCTGTCCCTCCTGTTCAGCATGTTCAACACAGTGATGTCCGTACTTGAAAGTTCGTTCCTGTTTGGCAGAATAGTCATGGATCCTCCTACACTGCAGCTGCTGTTCGACTGGGTACCTGGAGGTAAAATTCACAGTTAAACAAACGGGCATCACCCAGAAACTGGTACAGAAAACACCCAGTAAAGAAGTGGAGTATAGAGGAAAAGCCTGCATCATCACAGCAAATCATAACAGTGCCCTTTATTGAAAGAAGTAGGGATAAAAACTGTGTCCTTAGGTTAAAAGCTAATTCAGAGACTCAAGGGTAACATTTCAGTGTGAATCCCAACACAAAATTTATAGGCCATAGCCACAAACTGTCATCATCTGGTGTAGTCCTCTGGCCTGCAGTGCAGCTACGCTGACTGATGTGCCAGAAGGACGCATTCGTAAGGGAGCTTTTTATAGGCAAAATATAATTGAACAGGCATTTGCATGGAATGGCAAAATATACAAATTGGAGGCTATTCAAGGTCATTTCTAAGACTTCTTGAAATATTCTTGAAATAAATCCTAACAACTGCAAAACATCTTTGCTGGTTTCCTTGTTTTGTTTTGTTTTTAAGTAAACAGACTAAATTTATTAATTTACTTAGTTTCTTTCAATTGAACGAATTTCAGAAAACCTGGGCTGTTGCTGCTGGGTGGAGCGCAGAAAACCTACAGGCACGTTGTAGGCAATGTAGAGGCAGCAGGGACATACATTTTGGCAATGAGCAGCTCCTTGTACAAAAAAAACTATGGATCTTCAGGGTTCAATCTTGCCCTGCTCCATTCATGGATATTTGCCCTTTGTAGCCGTAGAATTGGTAGATATGATTACTTACATGTGTGGAAACAGTTTATTTAAAGGGCAGCCCAACGCATCTATGCAAAGGGTGCCTTGTTAAGGCTTCATCTGAAAGACTTCCATACAATAAACTGGCAGGTATTTTTCACCTGCCTTGCCTCAAAACAAGACAGGATTATGATGATCTTGGGTCCAAACCTTTAACTGTAGGGAATATTTCAAACGTGATGCATGGTTCCCCTGCTGGCTCCCATTCTGTAAAACATGGGACTATCTGACTTCTCTCAGGGTGGATAGTGGGACTTGTAATGAGGGGATAAACAAAAAGTGATCAATTTACAAACCATTCTCACAGCTGATGAGTTTCATAAGCTGCACTACTATTTTGCAAGGGTTGCAAGATTGTGCTAGCAAGCAATGAATTTAAGGACAGAAAGTGTTACCACTCCCACTATGTGTATCTCACCATTTCCTATGAGAGGCGGCAAGGTTGGGGCTTTGGAAGGTGGAACGGGGTTCAGTCTTGGAAGCATTCCATTAACTTGTTTCAACCTTTCTAATTTCACTTGCTCCATCCATTTGGTCCCTGTCATATTCCTCCTGGCCTGTAAGCCAAGTGCTGTGGTGGCTGTGGAAATGGTAGAGTCCATGATTGGGGTTTCATCGATGACACTGAGGTCTCCTACACTACCGCCACCGGTCAGAGTAAGCTCGATCCCATTGTTGGAATAGTTGCTGATGGGGGACTGTTCGCTGCTGCATGTAGACTGACCACCAGGGCTTGGCTGAGATGTCTGTTGAAGTGAGGTAAGAAACAACAGAACGTCAGGATTAAGCAAACAATGTTAACAAAGAACTTGAAGCAAATGCAGGTCTAAATGGAGCCAAAGAAAACCAAATGTAAAGAAAAGTTTAGCGTTAAATGATGGTGATCATTCATTAAGAGGCTTTCTAGAATATTGATTTTAACTGCAATGAATGCCATTGCAAAACTCGAGATTAAAATCCACTTTAATATCTTGCTGATAGTATACATTATACCTACATGAGACATTTATTTCAGTTATTCCCGTAATTGTTTCTATCACTTCATGTCATTCGTGAGCACGTATGTATGGATACTCTATTTTGGGTCTGCACTGTTCCCAGTTGAAACTGCAGGTCAATAAACCAAATCAGAACTCAACCACGTTACAAGGTCTAATTTAGACTGCTACGCTTGCAGCAAACAAACAAACAAACAAGACTCCAACAACACTGGAATTTGGGTTTTTTTCTTTAATTAGACTTGTGGCTAAAGAATGTAAGTATTTTCCAAGCTTAAGGCTCATTGTTACGAGCAGCGGTTGGCCTGAAATGCTGGCATGTAATAAAACAGGGACAAAGCATCAGTGCAAAAATACTGTATCGTATTATTAGCATCCTGTGACCCTGGCAGCACGCTCTAACTTATACCATCTCTGCCCTGAATCAAGAAGGCGATAATCTACTGAATCAAATCCTTTGTTTCACTAGAATTTATGAATTTAGATTTAGAATTTAAGTACACAGTACAGCCTGCTAATCGATGGGTATATAAACCACCGCAATAGCTTCTTCTTTCTTAACAGACTGTTCCCTGCTGCTCTAGCAAAATTCTTGCTGTGGGGAAACACAGGCTTGATTTATTTTTTATACTCATAAAGTTCTCATAAAAGAATGGGAAAATTTCTCTGACAAACTGAAACACTCAGACAGATAGACTGACAGACAAAACAGACAGCAAGACAGACAGAAATCTCTGGACGTAATATCTTCATGTAGGTTGTACCAGTATGATCACAAATCCGTGAGGCATGCAGTATCATTTTGCTCCCAAGAACAGTTTCATGTAAGTATTTTGCTTTGGGGGTTTTTCTTGGGTTTTTAAATTTTTTTTTTCCCTGTCAGCCTGTGATTTTTTTGCACATTTTACTGATGAATGCTGGCTACAATTTCTGAGGTAGCAGTGACAGCTCTCACTCTTAACATCAGTGAATGAAGACACAGATTCATGGGAATACTGTAGCTTCATATGCCCCTGAGGAGTCCATTAAGATGCAATAACTATTTTATTATTTCTAACTTGAACGATGATACTTAGAATTTATGAGGCCACACTGAGCATGTTCATTTCCAAATCCTGGCCATGGCAGATTTGGTGACAAGAATAGAAATAACTGTTATGACATGGAAGAGAGTTTGTGCTTCTGGGCAATAGCTCCATGCCCTATGGAAGAAGAGTACTAATGGTCAGAAGCCTGTTCTTGTAGCCATGTGTCAAGATCACAGTGAGGTAGGTTACAGAAGTAAGAACTGTATTACAGGGAACATTTATTTCTAGATGTGCAATACAGAAAATAAATGGATGTCTTATCTAGAGGGGAAGGTACAAAGACATTTCTGAAGACATTTCACCAATATAAGCCAGATTTTTCACGTCAAGTGTTGCAAAATGCTCACAGCACATTACATTTGGGAATGAGTTTGATGGATTGCACATTACTAAACAAAGGAATGCTTGGACAACAGGCAGCAGACTAAAATAAAGAAATAAATAATGTTGCAAGAAGAAAAACAGCAGAAAAGTTAAAATTTTAAATAAAAGCCCTCACCTTATTACCCACTGTCCTTAGGAAGTTAGAACAAGACATTTAAGAGCATTAGACAGAAAAGACATTGGATTAGTTGAAAAACAAAAAATACATCTTAATTCATACAAGCAATGAAAAACAGGAAATACAGAATTGTTTTTAGAAGATATTTTTCAGTAAGAAATATTTAATACTATGTAACTAATCAGCATTAATACCCCTCTCCTGCAAATTTTATTCATGTTAGAACTGTCTACACTCAACACGCCACAATAATGCCACAGATTTACCTAGCTAAGCAAGAGGGGAATGGGTTTTGTAGTTATCACCAAAGATGGCAGAGGATCTCCCTTAGACTTCAGCAACTCTGGGCTGTTGGAAGTTTCTGAATTCAGGATTAATTCTCCACAGTTTGGGCATAAGCCTTAGGCGCAATATAGCAGTAACTCGTATTTCAATGAGTAATCACTTTGAATTGCGGCATGATTAACAATATGAGCAGAATTTGGAGGGTTCATATTTGTAGTCCCCAAGGGTTGGGTCCAGGTGAATCGTAGACCCAGATGTGGAAGAGGATGGAGTGACTGCTTTTGCTAGTTTTAACCCTTGTGGAGAGGACAGATGGCACAGAAAATGCAGGAAAATGAAGTATTTCTTTCTTTAAGATAGCATGTCAAAAAATGGAGTAAGATCCTTTCAATGTTCAAGGCTATACTGGTTGAATGCAATACATTAAGGTAAACCAGTAGAAAGACCTGCAGAGACTCTTAATTCAGCTCAATTTAGTTAAATTGGAGTTAGCTTAACTTGGTCAAGTTAAATTACATATCAGATTAACATAAGAGGTCACATCACAATAGAGATCAAATGTTATCAAAAGATCTCCTCCTGCTGTTCAAGAAAGTCAATTTATCCTGCTTCAGTTTGATCCATGACCCAACAACCTCAAGCCCCTAAAATCTGATCGTTTCCCCAGGTTCTCCAAAAATTATCATCATCAATATCATCAATTTAGGCTTTTGGACTTGGTTTTTTTTTTGTTTTGCATTCTGGTTTTGAGCTTGCAGGATTCACATTCTCTAACTTTCTTCTGTAAAGAGGAGAGTGGAAAAAAAAGCCTTTTTAAAAATGAAAGCTGTGATTTTCTCATAATATGCTGATTCCAAAAGACGAAGCTTTAAGAGAAAGAATTATTGTGAGAGTTGCCAACACAGCACTTACTGCATATAGCACACATTAAATGTAATCTTTTTATTTGCTATTTCTGAAGCTTTAAAAACATTTTACAATGTAAATGAAAAAGAAAACCTCACAAAACCTGACTTTGTGAGCTAGAGTTTATAGGCTTGAGCATTTCATAAAGGGATTATTAACCAGTTGCAAGAAGAAAAAGGACAAAGAGAGTGGCACGGTGTATTGCATACCATTGGTTTTTCTGACTTGACTGCTTTCACTTGGAGGCATTCTTCACGCTTTGAGGTAGTGTTGCTGAGGTCCTTCTGCTCACCAATTGCACCCTGAGTCTGATGGCCTGGTGACCGGGTCTGAGAGTGGCTGCCTGGGTCTCTCGGTGGTGGAGGCCTTGGGTGGACATCTCCCCGCTGCTTCTTGGTGACGTGTGCCTCCGGGCCATGCACGGTCTTCACGTGTTTCCGGAGAGAACTGGGGTCTGTGTAGCGCTTTGTGCAGCCCGGTATCTTGCAAACATATGGTTTCTGCCAAGCCAGGAGAAACACTTAAATTAGATTTAACTCCATGTGGGACTCCTGAAGAGCTCCTTGGAGCACAGCTGGTGTGTTACAGTTATACATTTTCACAGTGAATTTGTTATCTAATTTATGGTCTCTACGGTGACTGCATCTAGTCAAACCTATTAATTCCTCTTGGTTTTGAAGGTACCCATTAATGCTGCATAGTTTACAGAGGGCAGAGCCTCTCATGATACGAACTGGCACAGCTCTGACTTACCATAGCAGCAGAGTCAACAAAGCTATGGCAATTTATGAAGACTGGCCTAATTTTCTGTTCTCTCCATTGCCCTCAGCAGTTTGATATCCTGTTTCTAGTACGTCCAGTAGCTACTCCTTGACATTCAGAGGTAAACAACCCCCTTCAAAACATGTTGGGACCTATGTTCAGACAGCATTACCTGAGGAAGAATTTTTCTCCTGGCCCCTTCAGATCACCAGAATGATGTCAAAGCACAGGATTCAGTTCTGTAAGCATTTTCACCTTGCAGCAATATATGCACTAGTACTATCACTGCTACTAGCAGCTACTAATCACTCTCTTTAAAACCACCTTCCTTTGTCTGTGAATTTCTCTAGTTCACTAAGCAATGCAGAATGAAGTAAATTTACTGTCTTATAATTTCACGAAGACTTTCTTTGTTCTTATATTATGAGAGGATTAGAAAGGAAGAGTTGAGCCCTTCCTAAATACTTTAATTGCCTCAGGAAACAAAGTATCATTCACTCACTTTTATTACGGAATTGTTTCCAAGAAACTACTATTTTTGAAGTCTTACTTGCACTAGCCTTCAAGAAAAAAAAGAGATCCTCATGCAGAGTTCCTCAAAGGTGTTCTCTGTCTGCATACACATGGCACTGCAGAGACTTTGACAAATGTAGCTTCCTAATGGCCTAAGCCTGCTTCCACTGACGTCAGCAGGAAAATAGGAGCAAAAATGTCATTTGTGAGCAATTTAAAGTTGATGCTGAGCTACTGACGCAGACTTTCTCAAGATGCTATGGAAGTACAAACCAATTAGTTCTCTTCTACCTCAGCTGCTTTTAAATCTGGCTGTAGTTTACCTACTTACAACCAAAATGGCACTGTGAGGAAGTGCTGAATTGGGTCTGTGCTTTCCGTAGCATTCATGGCACTACCTCAGCACACACTGTCTAAGAGTATTTGAGTTCCCCATTTCACTGGGAAATAATGGTGAAAGAAATTTTTCATTTGACTTTGTTGCTGCAACCACCAGAACTGATCCACAGTAGAAGATTCTTTTTGGTGACCTACTGTTAGAAATGAAATCCTGTTCTTAAAACAACAAGGAGTCCGTGTCATGTCTGCAAGTTTGTGAGGATCTTACTCATCAACTAGGTAACAAACAGATTGGTTCAGACCCATGAATGAAATGAAATTTCATTTCAGTGAATGAAATGAAAGCTCAGTCAGCTGTTGGTGAGACTTTGATGAATTTCTTTCTACCTTGGTGACAATTCACAAAATTGCTGCTGGGCTTCAATGCAGTTGTTGGGCTGCTGAGAGCACACACTGCAGGGACGGGGCAAACTCAGAGATGTGCAATGCTCTCTGCTTCCCTTGTGACTCAAGAGGTGCTTTAGGGACCAGGGGACTGGAAGAAGATGAATGCTCCCAGGAGATTCATATAGTCCTAGTGAATGCCTGCGACAGATCTGACAGACACAGAAGGATACAAGCCATGTGGACATGTATACACCTGCTATGGTGTCCAAACCACACAGCATGCTGGTATGTCCTGTCCTTCCAGTATTTTTGGCTTTAGGCTAGCAGGAATATAGACACAGGACAAGGAGGAGAGACAAGGCTCCCCCAAGATGTGAGACTGAGGTGATGTCAGTCCTGTGTTACCTGAAATGGGACAATAAAACAGGGACAAGGCATGCAGATGGTGTGACTCCTGAAAGAGGGGGCAGCAGTAACGGGAAACACATGGTAATAAAGAGCTGCTGCAATGACAGTTCAGGAGATGGCTGTGACCACCACAGCTGGTTTGCTCGAGAGAGATCGAATTGCCTCCACTGCATCGCTACTCTGTGAGGTCTGTTCAGGATAGAAAGAGCAAAATGGCCCAGAGAAGAAGGAAAAGGCATAACTCAGAACTTAGAGGGCAACCCAAATCTTCCAAACCCTGTACACTTCCCTACAGCTGTCCGCAGCAGCTGCGGCTCGGCAGCCGCCAGGTGTCACCACCGACCCAGGCAGGGGACGCGCTCCGGGCCTGGATGAGCCCCTCCAGCTCCGGAGGGAAAAACAATCCCAGCGTTTCAGCTTGGATCTGTCCCTGGTTAATGCGTGTATTTCCATTAGACCCCTCCTTCAAACCTTAATAAAACGACCCACAGCCTCTTTAGGTCCGAATGACACTGGAATGGCTGTGCTCCTAAGACCCATCTAGAACTTATCCTTTTCAGGTTGCTTAGGGTTTCTGTGCTCGTCCTCTGCAATAAATTGCTAGGATCACACTGTAAGCCTGTTCAACTCGGGAATTTATTATTTTTTTGAAGCCATGCTCACTTACCTCATTTGAATGAGTCCTGTTTTGGTGCTTGGCCCTGTCGGACGCGTTGGAGAAAGCTTTGTTGCAGCCTTCGTGTTCACACACATATGGTTTCTCTCCAGTGTGAGATCTCAAGTGCGTTTTCAAGTTTTCTAGCCTGGAGTAGGCCTTTGTACAACCTTCAAACTGCAGACAAGAAGTAAGTCCGGATTAATTTTAATCTTTGGACTTGCAGGAAACGGTAAAAGCTGACCTATAAAAGTTTAGAAACTTTCCAGGCCTTCATAACCTTGCCCAACATAATTTTGTTTGATTTTTTGGATTTTAATTTTACTCAGGCAAACCCCATCACAGCTCAAGTTAAAATGCTTCCAGCGTTATGTAAATCTTCTATTTCAGGAGAGCACAGTATTTGTGTACTTCATCTAAGACATAAATCCACTGCAAAGTCATTAGGAGGCTGGTAGCCAGCAATAACACCCAGATGTAGCTCTGTAAGAGAAAGTGCTTTTAAATAATTAAGCAAACTGATCCCTGTTTAATAATGCCTTTTGGGGCTTCTCTGCACTTTAAACTTGAGGAAGTGGGCCAAATTATCCAGTGAATCCCCTCTCCTAAAGCTCCTGTCATCTGGGTGAACTGGATAACAAAGCATAGACAGTAGCCTCTTCTCCAACAAATGTATGACAGACAAGGTATCAGGGAATGCAGCATCTGTGCCGCTCTGTTCCCTGCACAGCCCCAGCTCCCCCGTCCGAGCCTGGAGCTCAGCCCCCTTTACTCACAGTGCATTTGTGTGGCTTTTCCCCTGTATGTCTCCTCATGTGGACCACCAGCATATACTGGGCTTTGAACGGTTTCTGCTCCCGGGAACAGTCCAGCCATCGGCACACAAACTCTTTCTTCTCACCATGTATATGGTCATTGTTTATATGCTGTTCGGGTAGAAGAGAGATTACAGCTTAACAGAGATGTAACATCGTCATCAGCCTTACTGTAACTTCGCATTGGAACGGCACCAGAGGCTCAGGTGTGAACCAGGATCCTGCGGTACTAGAAGAGTAAGAAGATTGTCTGCACCCCAAAGCGATCACAGGGTTCAAATTATAGATCTCACTGGAAGTCCACTATGGCCCATGAATTTGTTTCTACTGATGTCAACGGGCTTTGGATCAGGCCTCAGGGATACAGGCTGTTAAATGGATCCTGGATAATCTCATGCACAGCACCACTTGTGTGATTCACACTGAGTAATGCTTTCCCAGATAAGGGAAGCCTTACATAAGCGCCACTCAACGCAAAAAAGGTTTACAAAATCAGGCCTTTAAAAACACATCCTCCAACCTGAAAAATCAACAGAACTGCTAAACCATGTTTCCACCAAAACTTTTAACTCACCATAATTTCTTTCAGTAAATGTATTGGGTTAGTGTACATGCCGTGGCAGCAGAAACAAAACCCTACACACTGCAGTAACTAAAAACTCTTGAGCACAGAAACATCCATCAAGCCAGCTTTTGCCATTGCCAAGTACGGCTCTGCCTGAAAGTCTCTGGGAGCGACACCTGCCCCAGGCCTGTTGACACGCATGCACGTGTCTTGCTGTGGTCAGTCTCATCTGCGTGAGTGTATCCAGATACAGGCTGGGGCTGTGTATTTTTTACTGTTCCAGAAAAGTAGCTTGCTCTGTTCCCTTCACTAAGACCCAGTTCAGCAGAGTATTTAAATATGGATTTCATTCTCGCTTCATTCGAGCAGAAATGGGCAGACGAATCAGGGCCAGCCTCAAGATTGGTTTGCTTTTTCGAGGTTTAACTGTCTGAATTTTTTGCACAGCTTCAGAAAACCACAAAAGCACCTACACCTGGACTGTCAAAGGTTTATGAAAGCTGGAATTGCAGCAATAGCTATGTGACTCATCCTCCCAGACTCTTGGAGAAAGCCTGCCTCAGAGACTTCACCTCTGCTTTACTTTCTATCACAGCTTGCTAGCTGTGCCACTAGATGGCTGCATTTCTCAGTGAATGTCATTATTTCCATTAAAGTATGAAACAAACTCCTTCCAGAGTTTATATTTGATCACAGCACAGGGATGAAATCTGTATCTGCTCCGTAAGTAGCTCACAGAAAAAGCCAGCCGTACAGAAACTCAGTAGTTCATACTGGAACACAAAGAAGATAATCCCAATCTTTTCTAAAGTCCTGAAAACAATCAGAAAACCAAATAAAATCACTTATGTTCACAATTATGCAGCATTGCCATGGCAAACAGATGTGCACTGCCTATAAAAGATGACTGCTCTTTTTCTCTTTCTGAAACTTTATTGCCATTTCTCAAAAATTGTGATGGGGCACAGAGCGCATGAACAGAGCAGATGTGCTGGACAATGTACAACATGTAATCTGCAGGAATTTATGTTTCAAGTGTAGATCTCTAGTCCATTCAAACTACACACGCCTGTACCAAAAGTGTACAGATGCCCTGCACTGTGCAATGGAATCGGAAGA